TTCAGTTGGAAATATGTAGTTAACAAATTACTTAGAAAACAAATTGTCATGCATGTCGTTACTACGAAACGATTTACTGTATGTAAATATGTACACTTTAAGCAATTTTCATAAGCTGGGGGTGCCTGCGGAGAAGTTTAATGTATTTATTTAAACAGAAGTTTATGGAAATTATTAATTTCAATAAAATGTCCTCTGAAGCAAATCAAATTTATACACAATTGTATTTATGAATAATTTACAGTGCAAACTTGATATCACTTTGTTAAGACGGATTGGTATCGACAAGTGTTTGATTTGAGTGTTATATCTTATATTATCCTTACTTTTAGCCAGGCCACAAATTATGTACTGACATTTACTTAATTGGAAAGTTTGGCCGGAAAATTTAAGAATTCGATTTTTTTCTGTCTCTAAATATTTACATGCATGTATTTACATTTGTGCACATATATGTCAAGTCATCAAGGTCATTTCATGACTATTAACGTAAATTTTGCTTGTACTTATATACATAAAAATTTCGTTGATCGGAATTTATTGAGTGAGGAGGAACTGACAGTTTTGGTGACCATCTAACATTGAGCACACTTCACGTCCAACGAATTTTTAGACCTGTGTAATTTTCATTTTTTGTCATGACGTGAATATGTGGGCAACCTTGTTCCATCAAACGGTAACCTTGCCATCCTTCCTACAAATTTCTCTTCCAAACCAGGGATACTAAAGTGCATCTCGCTAGTTACAAAGTTTTTTTCAAGATGTGAACATACCAACATACATATATTTATCTAGGTCATATTTGCTATGCTATTTGCTTCTCTCCTTGTATTTCTTGCTTCAATTAATACCGTAATTTTACTTGATTTCTCTCCCCATAATTGCAATATGAACCATTCTTACCTCGAAAACAACAAGGTTTCAAAGTCTTGTAATTTTGACCATGTCACCGTCTCAGTCATGGGATATGTAAGTGTTTAGATATTAAGGGTATTCACGATTCCTTCGCATCCTTAGTATTATGCATATCGTACAATACGATTCCACTGTTACGAGATTTTGTAAGCGATGTAAGATTTTGGCATCAAAAATCGCGTTACTATAAGGTTACAATTTTACGAAGCTTGAACCCTTCTTTTTTCTATGTAAACTGGATACTTAATTATTTTACGATGCCAAGGATACGATAACAATTGTAAATACCCTCATTGAAATCCTAAACGTACAAAAGTTCATAGTAAAAATAAACACGGAGTTATCATTCCGGCAGAAATTGGAGGGCATCGTGGGCGTTGTCGAGGCCACGACTGGAATTATCAGGGGCGATCGTGCTGCCGAGAGTACTTTGCGAGACATGCAATTCATGTCAAATTTCAGGTACATACATAAGTGTCTTAGGATTGTAACAAGTAATTAAGATTTTTTCCCCGTAGGATTAATCTTCGTATCCTTGACAACACTATGCCCAGCGACCCGACTTACTTTTCTGGGGGAATTGGAAAGCTTCTCATATCCAACGAAACAGATTTGGGGATCGGTTATTTCTACGTAAACCAAGACAGGGTTCAACTAGTGGCACCATTAATTCCCTTAATGTCAGACGGGTTAGATTAATATCTGTAGTGCAAGCAACTTACAATGCCGATATTCATTAAGAGTTCGCATCGTTAGCAGCACTATAAAAAACAAGTTCTCAAGTTCGCAAATCATTTTGGCTTGAAAATTATTTACGAATTTACGGATTTTTCGCAAATTTTTCAAAACTATGTTGCGATGCGAACAAGTGAATTCGTAATGAATGCCCCTAATCAAACATGACTAGACTAAATTATTTGCAGTTTGTACGTCTACTTTGTCCAACCTCTGCCCAATTCTGTTCGAAACATTTACCTAAATCCGTTAAGCTGGGAGTTGATTGTATTCATGATTTTGACTATGGTGATAATTTCCATGATCGGAGAGGCAATCAATTTCAAATCCAAAGTTTCCGAAAAACTGTCCGAAATTTTTATCCTTACGACGAGTCTTATGACACAGCAGGGTTAGTTAGCAAAAAAAATCATGGAATTTGTTACAGTTCTTTTAATGATAACTTAAACTTAAATGCATGCATATTTAGCCGGCTATGTTCGGATAAAGAAAACCGTGTCAAGATTAACTCATCTGTACGGCCTGATCTTATCTTACGTGATTTACTCAATGTTTGGAGGCAAACTGCTCTCCGCCATTTTACGACCGGTCATCCCCGTGCAAACTATTCAAGATCTGGTCACCCTAGATTTTACATTCTTCAGCATTCCCACGGCTAAAACGGTCGTGTTCAATGGAAAGGTTATAAATATTAATAATATTTTCGAAAAACATAAATATTTCCATGCACAAAAAATATAAAATTTACAAAAATTTCTCAGATGCCGCTAGGACGCAGAGAATTTGTCAATAATAACAAAGCCGAATCTATTCGTGCCGCCGTAACGGGACATCAAACCCACGCCCATATCGATGTCGGGTTCGACTCGATGAACAGCGTCCTCTGGTTTGTTCAGCGTCTCCTCAACATAAAAATGTCAGATGAGACGATGTGCGAAAGATTGTCAATCTTGAAGTTTTCAAGATCCAATGTGTTTCTGACGACGGCCTTTTACGTAAATAGAAAGTCCGTGTGGCGAAACCGATTTAATATAAAGTGAGCTATCGCACCGTTCGAAATCCAGTAAATATGGTCACGCAGTTATTGATTCTTCGGTATTAAGGTTGTTATCGCTTGGTATCAAAATTATATCACTCGGATTTGATACAGATATTGTAAAACTGTAATATGGAGCTATTACTTACTGCATACATACATGGTGTTACTTATCAAAACAGCTTTTGGTAGTCATATAAGTCATATAACTACCGCTTGGTACTACATATTTTAATACTGGATTTCTAAGAGTGCAAAAACTTTTTAAAATTTTGAATTTTAAACGTTTTTCAAAATCATTTTCTAATCAATATTTTGCAGCATCTTGAAAATTAAGGAGACCGGATTGATGAAGAGATATTTCGCAAATACAAATCCGAGGAAACCTAGGTGTGATTTTTACACGGTAAAACCAAGCTACGATCCCGACCTTGGTCTGCGCGATACTTCGACAGCGTTCTTACTTTTCCTGTTCGGAATTTTCGTATCCGGCGTGATTCTTATTATGGAACGGTTAAAACAGGTCGCCATCTCAATACCGTACGTTGAAGGGACGCGTTAGGTAAAAAAAAACTTTTGCAGAATTAAATTTACGACCATACTGATTTTATAAATTTAGTGGCGTCTTGTTTAATCATAATCTTGATGAATGCCAATCCATTTACATAATTTCAATTTATACAAAAGAGTGCTTAACAAATATTTTTTAATTGACACTAAAATTTGAACAGTTTCAGCAATTTAGAAACAAAGCTTTAAGGCTTACAGACATTGTGAAAATTCCTATACAAATCGAAATTAGTGAATCAAGAGAATTACAAAAATGTGAATATTTACATATACATAATACTTTTGCCACGACAAGTTTCATCTCTAATATGGTGTAATTTTCAATTGTATTTAATAAATCTGTACTAATTCGTAGTTAGGAATTTTATTGTAGAAATAATGCATGTGTGTATGAATTTGTTTGAGTAAAATAAGTTTGTGCACGTACATATGTTCCTGATGTCTAGATGTAAGCACTTATGTATACTTACATACCTATATGTCTACATATACAAGTTATTAATTACAAACTGCAGTGTTGGAAACTTACTAAATACCGACGTCACCGGCGATAAGTCAACGGTACATGTGAGCATATTTTTTTCCTGTTATCACTTTTAATAGTATTTGCACATCGATTAGTTTACAATGACATGACAAAAATTATAGCGAAATTACCCAGTTTATGGAGCTCCGTAGCTTCTGACGTCCCTACCTTTAAACCCTTAAAACAAGGTCACACAGATCATTTGGACTTCAATGGTAGTTTAAAAAGTGTTCTACCCTAAAGAGATACCTACATATGTACATATGTACATATGTATTTACAACATTTTTCAAAAAATTTTGGAATTTTTTAAAAAATTTGGAAAAATCAAACCGACGAGCATTTTACCATATGGTACTTTTTGCCATGTCATTAATAGGTGTGCATAAGGATATCCATCTACATACAGTTATCGTCAGTGTTCCCATTAAACTGAGGATGTGCAACTGAAGCAAATGTATGATAATATTTACAGATAATTACCAACCAAAAAAGATAGATTTCCCCAATAGTGAATTTCACAGCGAGGCTGCCTGCCACGCCAGGTTTAATACATTGTTTGTAGATAGTAGTTCAAAGTTAATGTTTTTTTTTATTATTTTTAATTGAAAAAACCATTATTGTCAAAATCAAAGACAAGGATAATTCTGCAGTGTTATCGAGGTCTTAATTGGTGCATTTAAGTGTCATCAAGAACTACACCTTTCAACAACGTCTTTTATGGTCACATAGTGGCTCAAGCATTGATTATCCCTAGGGTACAAATTATCCAGGTTCATTTTACTAATTTTTGTCATTGACCTCGCTGAAATCTTAATTCTAAAAAAATTCCATTGAGTATGATATTTAATTCATAACTACATCTGGTAGCAACCAATTAAATTCAATGATTTGCTGCAAAAGACTAATATTTATTTCAACCAGTTTCTAAGTTTTGAGTTTTTTTCGAAAATCACGGAAAATCCACTTTTTAAAATTGGTGGGTATAGCAAAAATTCCTTAACTTGTGAAGACAAATATACAAAAGAAAGTCAACTGTTTATCGTCGAGTTTTCCACAAAATACCAAAGAAACACTCGTATTTTGGGAAATTTTGAGAAGTCTGTATTTTAGAAAAATACAGGATATGACGTATCACATGGTTTCTTAGGGACGCTTTTTGAAACACGTCATATGACGAATTTGATCTAAATGAGGCTAACCACGTTTTTAAATACCCACTTTGCAATTTAGTTGACTGGTCAAATTTAGCTGGTTCAATACGTGTTTCTTTGTTAGAATACCACACGCCATGGAATTTAACCGCATCATCGCAGTGCTTCTTGTTATTGATGTCTCCTTGTGGGCTGCCATTTTCGCTTCCACAATGAGAAAGTCTCCTCCTGCGACAGATTTAAAATCTCGTCTTGACCTGGTCCTTGAAGAATTAAGGAGTCTCAAGAATGAGTCTGAAGATCTTGGGGTGAAAGTCAGGAAATATTACGAACTGGGAGGTTATGGACCCTTGCGGAAAGAAAGCTTTAAAAAATACGAGTTCTCAAGACGAGAATTACACCGACTAGTTGATGAATTACGTCACATCGGTAGAACTGCTGGATCAGCCATGAATAATGAAATCACACTGTAAGAAATCTAACAAACATATTTAAAGTTATAATTTTAAGTTAAAAGAAGTTTTTATGTAATTTTTATTTTCCAAATAAAAAACATTTTTAGAATTATCAACTCGTTACTGAACCGCCTAGATATTTACGAGACTTATCGCACTCGTGAAACAAACTTGTTATCAAGGAAAATCCAGCGACGCCTTGAATTGTTGCAAAATCCTAGAAATTGCACCTCTGCAAGAAAACTTGTTTGTCACGTGAACAAAAGTATATAACTAATGTGAAAGCTATGAATTCATAAACATTTTTAAGCTGATTTTTCCTAACTTTTCAGCTTGTGGATTTGCATGTCAAATCCATCACGTCGTGTACTGTCTCATCACGGCTTACGCAACTGGGAGGACGCTTATCCTACAGAGCGAGAACTGGTCTTACAATCCCGACGGGTGGGAAACGACTTTTCTTCCGATAAGTGAAACCTGCCGAGATTACGATGACGGAGAAGTTGCTGAGGGTTGGGATGCAGTCGGTTAGTGATAAAAACACGTGATCAATTTGATATATGTATAATGGGAATCACTGTATCCAACCCAATTTAAAGATAACACGCAGGTCAGGCAAGAAATGCAGCGTGCAGGGAACTTCAATAAATATGCGCATTTAGCGACGCACCCTATGCACTATCATAGTGCATAGGGTGCGCACAGGAAGGAAGTAGTTTCTTGTGCCTTACATTTCTAGCAGGTCAAAATGTCTGCAAGAAAGCACTTTTTGCAGTTATTTTTTTGCAAACGGCACCCGAAACGTTTCTCATAATGAGTTAAAATTCGAAAATTTCACATGATTTACATACGTATTTAGTTAAACTTCCATGACTTCGGTTTACCTCTATATTAACATACCTAATTTATAGGTAACATCAGCAATAATCATGCCAAAGTCTTAAAACTACCCGTCATCGACGTACTCCAAAACCCGCCAAACTTTCTCCCAACCACGATACCACTTGACTTGGCGGAGACACTGGAACTTCTGCAGGACGAGCCCCTCATTTGGTGGGTGGGGCAATTTGTGAAATACATTCTTCAACCGCAGCCCAAAATCAGGCAGATATTAGATGGCGCTAGGAACAAGGCAAAATTTGACAACAAGACACGCACTGTTGGGTAAGACTCGGGAATGAATTTATGCCCACTCTTAGAAATCCAGGGTTAAAATGCTTAGTACAAAGCGGGGCTCAAATAAGTGTGACACTACTGACACTACAAAATTGATGCTAATAATTAATACCGGATGGTATGAGCTCGGCACTAAAGTTTTGCCATATCGGGCGGTACCATTTCTGGCATAATTTTAATGCAAACCCGTAGAAAATTTAATGCATAAAGCAATTTACGCAGTAGTTAGTAACTCGTAAGTTTTGCAAAATAATTTTAAAAACTTTTACCAAGTAAAAAGACGACCTAGGTCTGAGTCAATTTACAAAATGGTGTAACCTAATTTTGCTTTGAAATCCATACATATGTATTTGTAAAATTTCGTGTTTCCAAGTTTGAATTTACAGATTTTACAATTTAAGGAAATTTTCGGATTTTACAATGTTACCCAGGACTGCTTTAATCGCCTTATTTTAATGCCTATTATTTACCGGATTTCAGTAAATAATTAATTATTTTCTGCGAACTTGGACAGAATTCATATCAGGAGAACGGACAAGATTGGTCAAGAAGCCGTATTCTACCCGCTAGACATGTACATGAAACCGGCACGAGAATATTTTTCGAGTTTGGGTCAAATAGAAGGAAAACGAGTATTTTTAGCAACCGATGATCCCCGCGTGGTTAAAGAAGCTTGCCAAAAGTGCGTTGATGGATAAGTAAAGATGATGATGAACTTTGAGAATTTTCACTTGATTGGAATTAATTTCAGGTATAAATCCCCCGAGTGGGAGATTCATGCCGACTTAAAAGTTGCAGAATCCGCCGCAATTAGTAAAAGGCTTAACGGAAGTCTAATCGGGATTTTTCAAGATTTGGATTTATTATCCGACTGTGAATTCATAATTTGCACGTTATCCTCTCAAGTAAGTTGATAAAACAGAGGTCCCTAAATTCTTCAAAACTTATTTTTTATGTCATGTAAACAAACTCTGCCAGACAACTTCTCAGATATTTTTGTCATTTTTTTTAACAAACAGTTGTTTTTTGCACACAATTTAAGCCATTTTATTCATTAATTGAAAGTGCGTAGCTTTGGCGACATGATAAATTTATATTTTACGGAGAATATGTATTCGTTCATTAAAATTCTATACCCGTAATTATGTAAATATTTGTTATGTTAAAAATACGAATTTATATCACTAATATTTTTTTATTCTTAGGTGTGTCGACTCGCCTACGAATTAATGCAGGCGAAACGCTCGGATGCCTCTGGCCGGATAATCTCCCTTGATTCCGAATATTATTTCGGTGGAGGAAGCCATCTCGTTAGACGAGCCGCATATGCAAATGATCCAGTGGGTTCGGTCATTGAGCTAGAATTCGAAGTTGGTGATGAAATCCTCGAATTTAAAAGATTAGATGAACATATTGCATTCGGGGTTAATAAACGAACGGGAAAAGTGAGAAAAAATATTTAAAAAATGCACGTGTTGCAAAATTATGCTAAATGAGAATGTCCACATTTAACTCTTTTTGACAGAATGGAACTTTCCCATCTTATAAAATAAAATCTTTGAGTCGGAGGGAAGAGTTTCCCACAAAATGGGCTAATACATCAATGGAAGATGATTGGAGTAAATTTTTTCAAACATAAATGCCGCTTAATCCTTGATATGTATTAATTAATATGAATGACCAAATACGTATGACGTCAAGTTTGTTTCGTCCTGAAATTATTCAAATAAAATACATTAATAATTATTACATAGATATTTTGAGCAATTGAATTTCCAGCACATACATTTCCGAGGTGATAAAACCTAAGGACTGGACTTCAAACAAACGAAGGCACGGAGATGACCATTTACGAGAAATGGACGAAATTCTATTTTTTAAAACTAGGTGGTAATCGAATTCAAAAATATGGATTAACATAATGCAATAAATCATGATACAAATCAATTTGCTTTTTAAATTTTTTTTAGCATCCACTCTAATAAAGCGTTAGTGTTAAGTCGCTGACTGAGTCCCTGTGGCTCTCAATGCAAGTTGCCCCGTAGAGGAGACAGAGGAAAGCGGAGCAAAAACTGCATGCATGAATTTTCTGCATGAGTCTCACTTCGCCTGCACGTGACTTTCGCGTACGTACACTTGCCATCAAACTCAAATTAAATGTTTTAATATATAAACACAGTGTGCAAGTAAATTGAGTGTGCAGTATACATACATACATCACATCACTCATCAATAGTGGTTATCATGATAAGTGATCTTGATAAACACTATTAATTAATTATTTTAGTTTGAGACACTCCACCTGCAACGAGTGGCATATCAATTCGAATGTATTTTTGACGCTAAATCCAACGCCGTTAATGGTTTTGACCTCCGAGGCCCGCGTGACCTTCCTGTGACCGTAGGGGGTAAATATGGCTTATTCGTGATGTCGCATATCAATTCCAATGTATTTTTGACACTAAATCCAACGCCGTTAATGGTTTTGACCTCCGAGGCCCGCGTGACCTTGCCGTGACCGTGGTGTCCAAATATGGCGTATTCGTGATGTCGCATATCAATTTGAATATATTTTTGACGCTGAATCCGAATCCGTCAATAGCTTGGCGTTAATTGTAGAAGCTAACGGGGTTTATGGAACTTAACGGGAGCGTGAAGCGTGGGAATTTAAATAGTTAGCTATGCAGTTACTCCCACGCGACGGGAATTTAAGTAATTAGCTATTCAACTACTCCCACAGGGGGAAATCAAATTGTACTGTGACCAGATTAATTAAAATGCAGCATGACTTGGGCAAACCCTCACTCTGATGTATGCATGTGGTATGACAAAGTCTCCAGTGGGAATTATTTAAAGTATAGTATGACGAATTTTTCGCTTTGGGCACACCCCCCACTGGAACCCTAGAACCCGGCCTTGGCCGGGCTATACGCTAGTATGTACATAAAAAACCATTGTTTCAAAATTTCAATGTTAATACACTGCTGGAAATTTGTATGTTAACAGTTAATTAGGTAAATTTCTGGCGTTTTAAATAATTTAAATTGCTCGTTTGAATTACATAACAATTCCTTGCCTTGAATTACCTATGTGTCTTCACCCTGAAAGTTTACCTAAGTCCAGCTTTTCAGAAGTTTAAATTTTACGTCACAAGGATAATATCCCATATAAAAGACCTAAAAATCGTTAATGCTTGGACACAAATTACTGCATTAAGCGCAATATTTCTCCGTTCTAGTCAAACAAGAGGTCACCCTTTAAAGAAAACTTATAAATATATCTGCCTCACAATTTAAAATTCATTCCGTCACCGCTCACCCAACAGTAATCAACTAATATTAAAGGGTAGTGTAACGAGAAATATTAAAAGTATTTTTTTAGCCAGAATGAAAATTGCTGCTTTTTCCGTCATACTGGTCTGGATTTCGATTATGGGTCTAAATAAGCCCCTCACTGTGGACGCGGTCCCCAGGGTATTCACATATGCGTTTTTTAGTCATTAGTAAAACGATTTACAGTAAAGAATGGAATATCTTTGTTCGACACCTGTTATAGTCAGGCCGATATTAATTTCACGGTATTAAGATTGCAACCGCTTGGTATTAAAATTATACTTCGCCCCAAAAATTTCCTACCGATATGGTTAAACTTTCTAAGCTACTAAATACTACTTATCAATGCCACTGTGGTACCGTCATATATATGTATATGATTACCGCTTGGTATTATTTTTAGTTACGACTTGATTTCTAAGCGTGTTTAAGAAGTTTAATAGTTTTATTAATTAATTATTTTAATTCCAGCATTTGTACCCACCACCAGGCTACGATAATGATTATTACGATAACCATGACGAGGGCTATTTCATCGCTCCCTGGAGACGACGCCAAAACTGCAACGGAGATAACCAGAACTGTCACAAGTCGGGGTGGGGCTGCACCGCGCAATGTGATTGCTGTTGGGGATTAGTTTGCAGAGTACGCATCATTGGGGCTGGGAAACAATGTGGTTATTACTAGATTGTCATAAGGTATGGATTGCGGCATATTGGAATTAATCCTCCTCAAATTATGAAAGGAATTAAAATTTCATAAATTTTGCAGGAAATGCGAAAATATGTGTACTTGCTGATGAATCCAATGTCCAATATTTTTCCGATGCCTAGACTTGATGTCAACCATTCCCATAGAATGTGGAACAAAAAATGTAAATACTGCGATAAAAAATTGTTACGACTAAAAATTAATTCTAATTAATTTTTAAATATAATTTAATCCGTAAAATTTAAATATAACCTTCATGTTAATTTCCAACTCTCATTGATTCAGTTTTAGAAGCAAATGCATACATATGTAATAGAAACCCTAGTAGCACATACCGAGTAATACGCGTGTTAAATTGGGGTCAATTGGTGTATTTTTCGTAGTGGTGTATAACTCGCGAATAAACCAATAATAATTACGAGTTATACACGGTTCGGCGCCACGTGTATTGCCGCATATAAATACACGAGTTTTATTTGTAAAAAAACACGAGTTATATTTATACAAAACATGAGTTCTTAACTACGAGAAATCTCGTGTTATTTGCACAAAAAAATCCGAGATTATCACGTATGGTATCATATCATATTACATATGTTTTTACCCCCTGTCATCATCAAAAGCGGTAAAAGTATTATTGTGAAGAAAAATATGAAATATTTTGTTTTTATTTTGCAATGAAAAAAACACGATCTAGAAAGTTTCAAAGAAATGTTAACAGGAATTTGAAAGATTTTCATCTAAATTCGCGTAATCAAGATGTTTCGAAATCTGTTCCAATAAGTTTAGATCAGGGTAAATCTCCACCTCACAGTTCTACTTTGGAAGTGGATATACTCGCTGAATCATTTTCAAGTCTCGAAATAGATTGTGAATCAATTAACTCTATAACAAGTACTGAAGAAGATAGAGAAGATTTTGTAATCCACATCGGAGCAGAAATTAAAGACTGGTCAATCCGACATAATATTACAAACTCTGCAACAAGTGATCTTTTAAAAATACTAAGGTCACACAATTGTTTTTCTGAACTTCCAGCTGATAGTCGATCCTTATTATCAACCCCACGAGAGACTTCCACCATAACTGTGGCCCCAGGAAAATATGTGGCATTTGAGTGGGTGCGATATGTGAAGGATATTGTATCAAGAAATGTGACCAAGTTCCCCAGCAAAGTTGTAAATCTACAGATAAATATCGATGGAATTCCATTGACAAAAAGTTCTTCACAACAATTTTGGCCAATTTTGGGTGGAATTTTGGATGATGTATTTATTATTGGGATATATTTTGGAGAAGGAAAACCGAGTTCTGTCAACGAATATCTTAATGAATTTCTTAAAACATTTAAACTGTGTGCAGATGGTGTTTAAATTAATGATCAATTATTTACTGTTCGAATTAGTGCCTTGGTCTGCGACGCACCAGCTAGAGCGTACGTTCTTGGAACAAAATGTCACAACGGATACAAATCATGTGGAAAGTGCACAATTAATGGACTTTATTTTAAAAATCGTGTTACATTTCCATATGAAGAGTGTGCAAGACGAACCGACGAAACATTTCGATCAGCATTAGACCCAGCTCATCATAATGAGTGTACTATAATTAGAGATTTTAATTTTGATTTAGTTGATGGTGTTCCGTGCGAGTATATGCATCTAGTTTGTTTGGGCGTTGTCAGAAAGCTGCTCCATTTACTAATTAGAGGAAAGAAGTGTCCAGGAAGACTACGGCCACACGAAATTGATAACATATCACTTAAACTTGTGGGTCTCGTTCGGAATATCCCATCTGAATTTGCAAGAAAACCTCGTAGATTAAAGGAGTTGGACAATTGGAAGGCTACAGAATTCCGTCAATTTGTGCTCTACACAGGACCAGTAGTTTTGAAAAATAACATTCCAAATGACCAGTATGAACATTTTCTCTGCCTCCATGTGGCCATATCAATTTTGGCTGACAAAAATTTACATAAAACCTGCAATGATTATGCCAACGATCTACTACATTACTTTGTTCAACATTTTGGAAGATTGTATGGGAAAGAAAATTTATCTTTCAATATTCATGGTTTATTACATTTAGCGAGAGATTGCTTAATTCATGGAGCATTGGACGACTTCAGTGGGTTTCGCTTTGAAAATCAACTTCAAATAATAAAAAAATTAATCCGTGGTCCATCAAATCAGTTGTCTCAAGCACACAGGCGGTTAATCGAGCGGGAGTCACAAATCAGTGCAACACGAGGTGAGAAGCTTGGAGCGACATTTTTACACACTTTCCAATTTGATGATTATTTTAATATCCTTCCACACCCAGTGCAATATTTTTCGAAATACCTGCATCCCAAATTTTCCTTTCGAGTCGGGGTTGCCAACAGTGTGTGTGAACTTGTGGGAGGGGATATCGTAGTGGTCAAAACATTTGCAACGCATAAAGGGGAAAAAGTGTTGCTTGGTAGAAAATTTAAAGAAGTAGTCGACTACTATAAAAAACCTTGCTCGTCATCACTAGTGAATGTTAAATTAGTGTCGTCGCTTGACTTGCTGTGTAAATACAAGGTGGAAGATATTCAGAAAAAAAGTTAGTTCTTCTACCTTGTGAGGAGAAATACTTGGCGATTCCTTTACTCCATACTTCTAAGTAAAATTTCTACAATGAGTGACCCCTACTTTGTCATTGTCAAGTTCCAAGATACGGAGGAAATTGAGGTCACGACGAGTTGCTGGTTACGTGAAGGTGGCAAAAAATGTGTGTGGCCGAATTTTAAATCATCTAATCGTACTGTTAAGGCTGCAAGTCTACACGAGGCGGCAAAAAGTGATTGGTTAGTTTATGATATAAAAATTGCTGGAAATGGTCATAAATTCGGTAAGCTGACGTAATACTTACTTGTTAGACGGAACATTAAATGCTAATATGGATAATTTTCTTTTTCTTAATTTTAAACCGGTATTATTTTCAGCTACTTATCATGACGCTGTTGCAAAGTTGGGGGCTGTCGTCCGGGAGAGTGATGCTGAATTGACTAGTGACGCAGACAAATCTCGTAGGAGGGCTAAGAAAAACAGTTCCAGCGATGAAGACGGGCACAGTGATGGCAGCTTCAAGACCAAAAGAGTTTCATCCCCTCCAAAGTTTCATCTTACTCTGGGT